TCAGGGCCACCCCGCTCTGTGACTCAGCCGGCGGTGTCAGGATGGAAGGTGCGGGGACGGTCACCAGTGGGGAGAGGGCCTTCTTCATCAGGTCGGCTGAGTTGATGTTCCAGGCCTCCGCCGTGATCAGCTGGGCCACCCCGTTCTCTAGCTTGTTGTTGGCCATCGCTGAGGGCGAGCTGGTGACATCCATGGGCAGGTTTGGGGTGTCCTTGTACAGCTCCTCCATGTTGCAGGGCTTCTGGGGCTCTGCCGGCGCCGCCTCTACATCGCCGTCAGCGGGACCCGTGGCGGCTCCGGGCTGCCAGGAGCATCGGCACCGACATAATTTGGCCTGCAAGCCAGAAACATATTTTAGGCACTGCATAAATCTCCTCCTTAAAATAATATTTGCAATTGCTTTTAAAGACCCCATCGCCAAAGAAAAGCCATTAAACGTTTCCACGCTTCAGGCTAACGGCTCCATAATACCATGTAGTATATATACAGAGATGCTAGATATACATACATCCATGAGTGTTGTACGAAGAGTTTTGAGGAACTTATATTTAGCCATAAACACAGATAATTTGAAAGGCCTCGAGGGCTGCCTGCAGCCAACCCCCCCACCCCAGTGCGCAGCCTGAAACAAGGACTTGCGCCGCCAGTTCAACGTTTTTAAACAAAGCTTCACGTAATGACAGTGCACGGCAGAGCCAAGTGACAGCGCGCTGTTTTAACTCAACAAAAGCCCCCAAAACAAACATTTCTAAAAATAACATGGCTAAGAAATTTTACACTGCGGGTGAAGGGTCCTTGCTTCCCCTAAAACACTCATCCTTTTTTTGTCCCAGTGGGATTTACTAAAAGCGAGCAGGCGAGAAAGAGCGAACCCAAACCAAACCCTGACGTTTGCCCTGCCACAGAGCTAGATGGAGACAGTAATGCAAACCAGGCACCTGAGTCATAAAAGACATGAAGAATAAAGAAAAAACAAAAAAATGTCAAAGCAACTTCAAATTAATTTTGACAGCCCAACCCTTTGAATTAACCAAGCAAATGGCAATTAAAGAAAGGGCAGAGATGATTCCCATTCATGATCGCGGTGAAATCTGCAGCCTGTTTCCTAAGAAGATTAACACCCCTCTCCCCCTGAAAAAAAAAAAAAAAAGGCAGCAAATTAGCAGCGCTGTGCATCCATTTATTTAGGTGGATAAATAATTTCCGCCCCACGAGCTGCTGCCAGCATACTTTGGCTGGGGGCTGGCTGCTCTGCTAGACGCCGCCCGTGCCTCTCCTGAAGTGCGCAGCGCATCCGCCGTAGTAATAATCACCATGGAAACTTGTCCGGTTTCAACTCTGTTACCATGGGAAAGCACCGGCCCACCCCAAATTTACATTTTTCACCTGCACACGGCTGAAACCTGCTCCCTGCGAGCGAAACGTGTCATCACCACCGGCTGGCCGGGCTGGTGGGAGTGAGGCGCTTCCCCACATCCCGCAGGCATGCTGGTGTTGGGATGATAGGCAAGGCAGCACTACTCCAAAATCGGATGGGTGAGGAGTCCCAGCCTGGGGATGTCTCTGAGAGCATGCGAAGAGCTCCATTCGGCTCTGGCATTTCCAGAAATTATTTGCTTGCATAGATGTTTGTAGGACCGACAAACCTGCAAACTAAGAGGGGACAGGGAAAAGGGGGGAAAACCAGCAAACCCCACGAACAAAGGCTAAAAAATGGCCAAGGCAGGGAGGCGGGAAATCTCCAGAGTGTCTCCTGAGACCTGTAAATTCTTGGGTTTGGCAGCGAGATGCCACGGCGTACGCAAGACTACAGAGATGTTGGGAGTTAATAGTGGAGGCTGGCTGGGTAAAATGCTAATAATTTATCAGGCGCATTTGAGTTCTTAAAAAGGATTTTTAAAAGTAAACAGATGAGTCATTTCTTTTCCCCTCCTGCTGCTGGCTTAAGGAGAATAATTCTGGGTTTTTTTCATCTCATGAAATGTTCTGCAGAAAACATTCACAAATACAGGGTTGAAGGGTTTTTTTTGTTTGTTTCATTTTCCAGCCTTGGCTGAGACAGATTACAGGCAGGCAGAGGTGCCCAGGCACCAAAAAACAGGAGCAGAAATCAAATCCCTTATTCAGACAGTGACAAGTATCGGTACCAAAATAATTGGGCCAGTCTTGTTTTGAAAAAAAAAACAAAAAACAACAAAACAAAACAAACCACAAACAGAAGAGCAATCGTTTCTAAAAATAAAGACAATGAGGAGACCACTCAGCAGATTCAAGCTGGAAAAAAACAGACGTTTTTTCTGTTGAGGAATTAAAAAGCCATTTTCTACTGCTCTTATATAATCTCTCCCTCCCTCTTTTTAAAATGACCATTTTAATACCCTGTGGTCTCTGCAGCGTACACCAGCATCTTTGCTCCTCCAGCTGCTGCAGCACAGCCAAGTACTTTGCACATGACACCGGCTCTTCCCGATGTTTCTGTTTGCTTGAGAAGCGTGAGATCGCGGTGTTTTCATAGGGAATGAATGATCTGGCGGGGACAGGAAATGACCCCCTGTTCCCCTAGCAAACCCATTTAACGTTGGGAAATAGAAAAATTAAGATGAAAATTATACTGCGTAAGAGACTTGAGGGATTAGCATGCTGTACGGACCCACAGAGAGATATCACTGCCAAAGATGAAAGTATAAAACATAATAAAATCCCCCCACTGCTGCTTTAAAAGGCGACAGTGTTGGAGGCAGAGGAAATATCTAGATGAGGGGAAGAAGAGCTCATCTATCATCATCAGTTACCTTGAAGAAATGCCCGTGGGACTGGTTGGGTTTTTTTTTCAAGGCATAGGCAAATGCTGTTTTCCACGCTGAAACCTATATGGTTTTGGGATCGTATAAATATATGTTGTTGAGCTCGTGGTCCTATATTGCCCCTGGAGGCCCCCACCATGTGAGGGGAAGGAGAAGGAGAGAAAGGTTAGGTGCAGCCTTCGATGCAGGTTTATGGGCTTGGGGTGAGGTTTTCCCCCTCCTCACCTTTCCTACGTGGAAGCATACCTTTCCATACTTCCAGTGCACCTGCTTCTTGAACATGTGATCGCTCCAGAAAAAAAAAAAAGTACATATGTACACTTAAAAATATTTCACAGCCCTGCCCGCAGCCTGCAGCTTGGCAGTAGCCAACTGCCAGGTACAGCGGAGTTCTAGCACAACTGCCCATTGCACCCTGTAAAGCAGTTTTTGGTTTCACCCAAGGAAGCAATCCCAGGGCTGCTAAACATGTAATACGCTAAACACCTATTATCAAGGTCAGTAAGCAGACTGAGTGAAAAGGCTCCAAAGTCCCTAAGCCTCAAAAGGGGAAACGTTTGAAGATCTGGGATCAAGAGACAGTTCGGAGTTGTCCAAAGAGCTGGTTTGTGGTTCCTGGACTCCTTTTTTATACTATGTACACCGAGTACATGGCACAAAATCATAAGTCAACATGGAGATGACTTAAATTAAAGTACATTTTCAATGTTGGTATTAACAATGATAGCTATATTATATTTCTCCTTTAATAAAAATCAACCTAAAGTATGGGCTGGGGTTTTGGGTTTGGTTTTTTTTGTTTTGTTTTTTTAAAGATTGCTGCTTCACTGCACACAAAGTATTCAGAGTTACCCAGTTTTTAAAACAAGTTTCACGTACCTAATATACACAAATGAAGGTAATATAATTCAGTTTCCTCTACCACACCTCAGTGATGGAAAATCAATTAATTTCACTTTC